GAATGGGAGATTCACAGCATACATTTTTAGCTGACAAATCTGCAAGTTATGTAGTTATGCATACAATTATGCATTCATGTCAACATGAACCAGACACTTTTTCCAACACTTTCTGGAATCTATGCAATGAAGAATTGAGGCTGTTCTGAGAGAAAAGTTGGAGTTCTACCCAACTATTGTTGGCTATGTATATACACACACATACTGGTTACCAATTTTTTGCACACAAAAGAGAATAGCAATTAAATAAGGAAACCTACTATAAATCTTTTTTATCGAGAGAGTGAACTTGTTAAGCCTTAAAAAAGACTTATACACAGAGCAGATATTAACTATAAAAACAAATATATGGTGTGCTACAAGTGCCTATTTAGAGTGATAAAGATTTTGGCCTTTTGCAATTAGATTAAATTAGATATAGAGTGTTCTAGTAAAGTCATTTCTAACATTTCTCAATTCACCTAACATAATAATAAACAGTTCTCAATTCATTATACCTATTAATAAATTGTAAAATTTAAAATGAGGTCATTTTATGCTTATATAAAAAAAAGTCATATTTGCTCAGATGCTTATGTTCAGATACTTTTGATTTTATTAGGAGCACCTGTAAACATGCTTATTCATGCAACCAATCAGGTGGCAGTAGCACAGTGCATAAAAGCATACAGAAATTGGACAGCTGAAAAAAATGGGAAAACATTGCCTGGTTTTTCTCCAGTCTTCATCTGTCCATTTTGTGGGCGAGCCTGTGTCCTCTGTAACCTCAGATTCCTGCTCTTGGCTGACAGGAATGGAACCCGATGTACTCTTCTGCTTTTGTTGCCCATCCTCCTTAAGGTTGTGCATTCTGAGATGCTCTTCTGCTCACTATGATAGTAAAGAATGGTTATTTGAGTTAGTGTAGAATTCCTGTCAGCTAGAACCAGTCTAGCCATTCTCCTCGGACTCTACAGACTCTTGTGTGTGAAAATCTCAGGAGATCTGAAATACTCAAACAAGCCCGTCTTGTACCAACAATGATGCGATGGTCAAAGTCACTGAGATCATCATTTTTCCCCATTCTGATGTTTGATGTGAATATTAACTGAAGTTCTTAACCTATATCTGCATTTATGCATCATTATTTATATATATGTTATATGCACACAGACACACACACATACACAAAATGGATAGAAAAAAGTCTACACACTCCTGTTAAAATGGCAGGATTTTGCGATGTAAAAAAAAAAAAGAAGAAGAAACCAAGATAAATCATGTCAGAACTTTTCCACCCTCAGTGTGAAATTACAATGTATAAAAATTAAGTGAAAAACAATCAGAAACATTTTTAAGGGAAAAATAGAAAAATTTAAAAAGTTACAATAACCTGGTTGCACACCCTTTTATATTTGGGGATGTGGCTGTGTTCAGAATGAAGCAATCACATTCAATTTCATGTTCAAAAGTAATTATCATACAGCTGTCATCAATGAAATTGTTCTGATTAACCCCAAATAAAGAACAGCCGTTTCTGTAGGATTTTCTTCACATCATCTTAGTTTCATCCAACTGCTGAAGCCATAGTTTCCACAGAGCTTACAAAGCATATATGATATCTTACTTGTTGAAAGGTATGGATCAGAAGAGGGGTATAAAAGAATTTCCAGGACATTAAATATACCATGGCAAACCGTAACAGCCATCATCCACAAATAGAGAAAATAGAGCACCACAGTGACATCACCAAGAGCAGGAGGTCCCTCCAAAATGTATAAAAGGACAAGACAAAAACTTACCAGGGAGGCTGACAAGAGACCTGCAGCAGCATTAAAGGAGCTGCAGGAATACCTCTCATAATAATCTCTCATTTTTCACATGTCTGGGCTATGCGGTACAGTGACTAGACGGAAGCCCTTTTTCACAAAAAACTAGCTCAACTAAAACTCCCCAAACCATGTGGCAAAATGTGTTATGGTCTGATGAGACCAACTACAAAAGGTATAATAATTCTGTAATTCCAAAAGGTATGTTTGGTGCAAAAAAGGCACCAAAAAAAACACCATACCCACTTTGGAGCAGGGTGGTTGCAGCATCTTGCTTTAGGGCTGATTTTCTTTACTCAGAACTGGGGCTTTTATCAAGGTGGAGGGAATCATGAATAACTATAAATACCAGTTGATTTTAGTGCAAAACTTTCAGGTGTTTACTAGTAAGCCGATGAAAAGGAACTTCACATTTCAACATGACCATGACCCAAAGCATACATCCAAATCAACAAAGGAATAGGTTAACCAAAAGAAGATCAATTTTGAATGACCTAGCCAGAGCCCAGACCTGAATCCCACTAAAAATCTATGGACTGACATGAAGCAGGCTGTGCACAGGAGATGCCCTTACTATTTGATGGATCTAGAATGTTTTTTCAAGAAAGATTGTTAACATATTGGAAAGTCAAGGTGTTCCACACTGGTAGACTGTTACCCAAAAAGACTGAGTAGTGTAATAAATTCAAAAGGTACTTCAACAAAGTATTAGTTTAAGGGTTGCGCACTCTTTTGCAACTAGGTCATTGTAGGTTTTTTATTTATCCTTTTTTCCCTAAAAAAGTTTTTCACTTAATCTTTAAGTTGTAATTTCACATTGAGGGTGGAAAACATTCTGACATGATTTATCTTGGTTTCATTTGCATCACAAAAACCTGCCATTTTAACAGGGGTGTGTAGACTTTCTATAGCCATGGTGTGTGTGTAATATTAGGCATTTTCCATGAAACCTCATACTTTCATACATCAGTTGAGCTGTAAAATGAACAGCAAATGTACTCAAGACATTGACAAGGTTAGAAATAATGATTTTTGCTTGAAATAAGAATTTTGTCCTTCAAATTTTGCTTTTGTCAAAGAATCTTCCCTTTGCAGCAACTATAGCCTTGCAGATCTTTGCCATTCTTGCTGTCAGTTTGCTGAAGTAATCTGAGGAAATTTTACCCCATGCTTCTCCAAGCACCTCACACAAATTGGATTGGCTTGATCGGCACTTTTTATGAACCATATGGTCAAACTGCTTCCACGACAGGTCAAGAGGGTTGAGATCTGGGCCAGTCCATTACAGATAGAATACCAGCTAACTGCTTCTTCACTAACTAGTTTTTTCATAGTTTGGAGCTGTGCTGTGCCGGTCATTGTCCTGTTGTAGAAGGAACTTGGCTCCAGTCAAGCACTGTCCACAGTGTATGGCATGGCATTGCAAAATGGAGTGATAGCCTTCCTTGTTCAAGATCCCTTTTATCTTGTATAAATCTCCCACTTTAGCACCACCAAAGCACCCCTATCAACTTTCCTCCACCATGCTTGACAGATGGAGTCAAGCACTCCTCCGGCATCTTTAAATTTTTTTTCCTGCATCTCACAAATGTTCTTTGTGTTCCAAACACCTCAAACTTAGATTTGTCTATACACTTTTTTCTAATTTTCCTCTGTCCAATGTCTCTGTTCTTTGGCCCATCTTAATCTCTTCCTTTTATTGGCCAGTCTCAGATATGACTTTTTCTTTGCAATTCTGCCTAGAAGGCCAGCATCCTGGAGCCATCTCTCGACTGTTGAAGTTGAGTGGTGTTTTGTGGGTACCATTCAATGAAGCTGCCAGTTGAGGACCTGTGAGATGTCTGTTTCTCAAACTAGAGACTCTCACGTACTTCCCACTTCTCTTTCTATCCTGGTTAGAGCCATTTTATGCTGTTCTTTGAAGGGAGTGATACATACCATTGTATGAAATCTTCAGTTTCTTGGCAATTTGTCGCATGGAATAGGCTGACTGTTTTATTAACTGAAGTTTCAGAAGAGACTTGTTTTTTTTCTGGACATTTTGAGTCTATAATCAATCCTACAAATGTTGATGCTCCAGATACTCAGCTAGCCTAAAGAAGACCACTTTTATTGCTTCTTTAATCAGCGCAGTGGTTTTCAGCTGTGGTAACATAATTGCATGTGGGTTTTCTAATGATTAATTAGCCTTTTAACATGATAAACCTGGATTAGCGATCACAATGTGCTATTGGAACACAATTGTGATGGTTGCTGAAAATAACCCTCTTTACGCCTATGTAGAGATTCCATTAAAAATCCTAAGTTTCCAGCTATAATAGTCATTTATAACATTTACAATGTCTAAACTGTATTTTTGATTAATTTAATGTTATTTTATTTGAAAAAAGTGTGCTTTTTCAAAACCAAGGGAATTTTGAAGAGACCCCAAACTGTTGACCGGCAGTATATGTTTGATTTCTTCTATATTTGCATGTTTGCCACAGTTAATTGTTTGAGATCTTCAAACAATATTTATACAAGACAACCTAAGTAAACATAAAATATAATTTTTAAATGATCATTTCGTTTATTGAAGGAAAAAATATCCACCTGGCCTGGTGTGAAAAAGTAAGTGCCCCTTAGTTATGCAATTAACCAAATTTAGAATTGGGTTCAATTAGACTAGACACACCCAGGACTGATTACTGCCATACCTGTTGAATCTGAGCATCACTTAAAAAGAACATTTCCAGCAATGTGACAGTGTGGCTAAAAGGTCAACAAGCAGCACACTATGCCACGATCGCAAGAAATTCCGGAAGAGATGAGAGAGAACATTATTGAATTATATCTGTCTGCAAAGGGTTACAAAGCCATTTCTAAGGCCTGGGGCTCCAGCAAACCACGGTAAGAGCCATGGATAAAACTTGGATCAGTGGTGAATCTTTCCAGCAGTGGCAGGCCTACCAAAAGAGCTCACTGACGACTCATCCAGGAAGTCGCAAAAGAACTCAAACAAACATTGAGGAACTGACCTTGCTCATCTCAGACAAGGTCAGCCTTCATGATCCCACCATTAGAAAGAGACTGAGCAAAAATGATTGACATTTATGGCATTTGGCAGACACCCTTATCCAGGGCGACTTACAATTATCTCATTTATACAGCTGAGCGTTAAGGGCCTTGCTCAAGGACCCAGCAGTGGCAGCTTGACAGTGCAGGGACTTGAACTTTCAACCTTCTGATCAGGAGTCCAAAGTCTTAACCACTAAGCTACCACTTCCCTTTGACATGTCTGACAATCCCTTTGCAAGACAAAAACCACTGCTGACCAAGAGGAGCATAAAGGCTTTTCTCACGCTTGCCAAACAAGCCTTGATGAACCTTTTGTGATAAAGTTCTGTGGACTGATGAGTTGAAAGTGGAACTTTTTTGGGAGCCATAGATCCCATTACATCTGGCACAGATGTTACACAGCATCTAGAATAAGAACATAATACCAGCAGTACCAGCACATGGTGGTGGCAGTATGATGGTGTGGGGATGTTTGACAGAAGATGAATTCTGCTCTCTACCAGAAAATCCTGAAAGAGAATGACTAGTCATCAGTGTGTGATCTGAAGCTTAAGCACAATTGAGTCATCTAGCATGATAACGATCTGAAGCACACGAGCAAGTCCACTTCTGAATGGCTCAAAAGAAACAAAATTAAGGTTTTGGAGTGGCCTAGTCAAAGTTCTGACTTGAACCCCATTGAGATGCTGTGGCAGGACCTTAAATGGGCAGTTATCAGAAGCGTTTGGTTGCAGTTGTTGCTGCCAAAGGTGGCACAACCAGTTATGTTTAGGCCCTCCCAACCCAAGTATTTTTTCACATGGTCGATATAGGTGCATAACCTATGCATAATCTTTTTCCTTCAATAAATGAAGTGTTTTTTTTAAAACAAAAAAAACAGTGTTTTGTGTCTTCATGTTCTCATTGTCTTATTATATATTTATGAGGATCTAACACCATTTAGTGTGACAAATATGCAAAATTAGAGGAAATGCAGGGAAACATATTTCTTATTGGGGGAGAAATATGTTTTGAGGAACAAAGACATTTGATATGCTATTACAGACCAGTTTGGTTCTCTGGCCTGCAGGAGTACTCTCTGATTTCCTCAAGCTGGATTAAGGTTCTCCAGCTTTTTCCTTTACTATTGCTCTACATACACTATATTACCAAAAGTATTCGGTCACCTGCCTTGACTCACATATGAACTTAAGTGCCATCCCATTCCTAACCCATAGGGTTCAATATGATGTCGGTCCACCTTTTGCAGCTATTACAGCTTCAACTCTTCTGGAAAGGCTGTCCACAAGGTTGAGGAGTGTGTTTATAGGAATTTTTGACCATTCTTCCAAA